GAGGCCGTCCGGACGCTCGCCGGGCGGGCCTCGGAGGGCGGGGACCCCGGTTTTTGGCGCGAGCGGGTCTCGGCGCTGGAAAGGGATATGGAGTCCCAGAGGTCGGAAAACGGCCGTCTCCAGCGTCGGATCCGCAAGTTAAGGCGGAGGCAGCAACCTTTGCGCCGGCGAGAGGCCCGTCTCGCCGGTGGTGGAGGGGTTCCACCCTAGCCCTGGGCCGGCAGAGAAAAACACCACTAGAGAGAAGGGTGGGGGCGGGGGCCTGGTCCCCCCGTCCCCCCCCGTCGGGCGACCCACAGATTTTGGCGAGCCTGGCGGGGATAGCCGAAACCCTATGTGGGTACGGCGAGCGATTGAGGGGGCTGGAAGAGAGGGTGGCAATGCCCCCTCCCTCGATTACAGCACCTACCCCCCCCCCGCTCCCGAGACCTCCCTATGGGGAAAGGGAGTAAGGGCAAGAGGAGGAGGGGAAAAAGAAAGGAGGGAGTTATTGGGGAGGCGATGCCTCGGGGGGGCGGGGGGTGTTCCTCGGTCCCCGTCAGAGGCTTTCGCCGGCCCCGCCATCCCCCAAGTGACGGAGGTGGTGAGTGCGCTGAGGGCGGTGGAACCTGAGGAGGGGTACACCGTGGTCCGGCGCAAGGAAAGAACCAGCAGGGCTGATGGAGGGATTAGGCCCCCCTCTGCCAGGCCCACGAGAAAGCCGACCCCCTCCGCAAAGGCGGCCCCAAAGGAGGTGGTGAATAAGAAAAGGACGGCGGCACAAAAAGGTCGCAAGCGCTTCCCGCAAACGGTGGCGGTATTGCTATCCGGACAAGGAGATCTGGCCGGGGCAATGGCCGTTGCCAGGCAGAAAATCCGCCTGGAAGAGGAGGTAGGCCAGCTCCCGAATGGCCTAAAGGCACGGAGGGCCTTCAACGGGGGTCTCCTGCTGGAGATCTCTGGGGGCACAGATGCGGAGGCCAAGGCAAGTCGCCTGCCCTCCGCAATGAAGAAAGCCCTAGAGGGACTTGAGGGGGTGGTAGTATCCCACCCCTCAAAGAAGCTCGACCTCCGGCTTTCGGGGGTCGAGGAATCGGTCTCCGGGGAGGAGATTTGCGACGCTATAGTCAGCATAGGCGGATGCTCCAAACCGGAGATCCGGGTTAGGCCCCTGAGGCCAACTGCACGGGGGGTGAGGACCGTGTGGGCCCAGTGCCCAACGCGTGCGGCAATAAGGGCAGCGGAGGCCGGAGTTGTGAGGATAGGATGGATCCCGGTGCGGGTGAGCCTGCTGAAAAGTAGGCCCATCCGCTGTTTCCGCTGCCTTGCACGAGGACATGTGCAGCAGAGGTGCCCGTCCACGGTGGACAGGGCCCTCTGCTGCTACAATTGCGGAGAGACGGGACACAAGGGGGGGACATGTCAGCGTCCCCCCCGATGCCCAAA